ATTTGGCGTCAGATGCACTTACAACGCACTGGGTGACCTTGATACCTAACTTTAGATTGAAAATAGACAATTCAAAAAAAGTTTCCTCAAGTTTTAAAATAAAGCATCAAATCAGGTTCCACGAGAGCCACTTTGCTTAGTTTGATACGCCGATTTCGAAAATGAAATCAGTTTTTAGCAGTGATAATTATTTTGAAAATTCTGCGCGCAAAGTTTTATCCCGCGCGGTGGCAAACATCAAAGGAATTTTGCGTCACAGCCTCCCACGTGTCACTTCACACTGAGAGGGGGGGAGGGGGGTCTATTATAAGATCACTTAAAAGTGACTGTTGTCTGTCCTCTTTATGATAGGAAAATACAACAAGATGCAATCTTGGTAGAATCTATACAAAATACTTCTTTTTGTGATCTTCTAAATCCAGCAAGAAAAACGGTCAACCGCGAGTTATTTTGTTAATTCGGACACGCTGGTTCCGAATTTGATAATATTTTTACGATTATACATCGTTTTAAAGGTTTTATTTAAAAATCTTTTGTCAGGACGCTGGTGTATCGATACCAGCATCAATACCATCACAACGGGGTATTCGCTAAAGGCAGTCGCTGTTCCCCGGACAAATTTTTTCCTGTTTTTAAAAATAGAGTCGCTGTTCCCCGGTGCTCCGTTTGTATGAGTGTGCGTGTGTGTGTGTGTGCGCGCATGGGTGAGCTACATACGTGTGTAGTGACCTAGTTGTACGACACCTGTGTGCAAAAAAGTCCAGGTTAAAAGAATGTAGTTTTATTATTAACCATATCCGTAGGTCGTGTTTAACTATCGTATCCATGCGAAGTGGGGAACTCTGTGCCACCACTTAACCCTATCCGTATGTCGTGTTTTACTATCGTATCCATACGAAGTGGGGAATGCTGTGCCACCACTTTCAAAGAGGAAATTTACTCGTTAATTCGATCCGCTTTGCATAGAAGTCTGTCAAAATGGGTGTTTTTTTTAGAAATACTGAAAGTTTCAAAGAGATCTTCGCACTAGAAGTATTCTAAAATGTGAAGAATACAACCCCGGGGGTACAAAATGACCCCAGGGCGTACGGATAGGGTTAAAGCGCACATATCATAAAAGGCTTGAGGTGTTGAGTTCACAGCTCGACTTCCTGCTAAGTCTCTACACGTTCATGTGTGTGTGGGTGTGTGTGTGGGTGTGTGTGTGTATGTGTGTGTGTGTGTGCAGATAGACAAAAGGGTAAGGACTGGGTGCAACTGTGTATGTGCAAAAGACACACCAAAAAATCCCCCAAAACCGGGGGGGGGGTCTTCTTTTTAGTTTTAGTTTTAGTTTTAGTAGAGGGTTTTACGGTGCTCGCAACTGCAGAAGGTCATATGAGCGCCAAAAGATTAGAGGTGTTACAAGAGAGTAACAAACATAAAAAAAAGAAGGGGAGATGTGGACGATAGATATGTTTGATAGGAAAGAAGGAGCAAACCACACCAGAGCACCCGCCAACCACCCACAGGGAACTTCTGTTTAACCCCATTCCTCCAGATGTTAATACCCCGAAAGCATTGCTTATTTGATGGCGTCGGTGGCCTAGTGGTTAGGCTACCGGGCTCGTAATCGTGAGGTTGTCGGTGGCCTAGTGATTAGGCTACCAGGCTCGTAATCGTGAGGTTGTTGGTGGCCTAGTGATTAGGCTACCAGGCTCGTAATCGTGAGGTTGTTGGTGGCCTAGTGGTTAGGCTACCGGGCTCGTAATCGTGAGGTTGTCGGTGGCCTAGTGGTTAGGCCAAAGATAGTACAAGACAAGATGGGCCACTCAGACAAAAAAGTGTCCGCAGGAAGTATGCTCTTTGCTTCAGATGGCGCTGCAGCCTGTTTTGAAGCTCTCTTTCGTTTTTCCAGAAGAAGAATAGGAATAGCACCTCCTTGCGTGCGCAGATCGACTGCTGTTCATCAGCAGTTCGGGTACGTTCAGTGCGGAGTTTTAGGTTTTTTTTATTTTAATGACCTCTCGCCCTTCATTCTAAAGTCAAATTAAACGAAGAAAACCATCTCCTTTTCCTCCGGAAGAGGTTTTTTGTCAGCGTAACCATTTTTAAAAAACGTTCTTCCGAAATTTATCCCAAAACGTGCTAGTTTCATTTTGATTTTTTAAAACTCAAGTAGGGTAACTCTGTTCGCAAAGAGTGCGCTTTTGTGAAGAGGGCGCCACCAAATTTTGAGGACACCTTTTTAATTGGCTCAAAGAGAGAAGTGGCCCATCTTGTCTTGTACTATCTTTGGTTAGGCTACCGGGCTCGTAATCGTGAGTTTGCGGGTTCGGGGGTTCTGTGTTCCCACCAACTGTTCGTGTTCATGCGGTAGTGATAGTTGTTCGTGCGTGTTGTGAGTCTTATGACAGCCATAACATTTCATCGGTCTGCTCTCATGGTGTGACCGACCGCTCCCCCACAGGAGGAAGATGAGGACATGATCTTCTTTAAGAGCATGACCCCCAAGATAAAGACATTAGATGTCTTACAGAAGATGGAGCTGTGAGCAGAATTATTGCACAGAGTTCTATTCAAACACTTGAAAAGGGTACGCACTACAACAGCGGAGCCCACATTTTTAAAATGTCTTTAGTTTGTCTGTAATTGGTGCTCTTTTTTTTCATTGTGGAGTGTCAGCAAACTCACGAGGCTGTCAAATATATCTGGTCTCAATCGAATGTATCTAATACATTTGTCTTCATATGACAAAATGTGGGGTAGCAGATGGTGACATTCGCCATATAATTGTCTATCTACCAACATTGGGTGGATCCAGGGCCTCCTATTCTTCCTCTTATTTCTTTCTTTTAACAACAGTAAAATCTTCAGTCTAATCTTAGCATCCATGGTGATATCAGAGAGGGTTTACAGTAGTATTACTGTAAACTCTGTGATGATATAGAACACGCACGATAACACACGAATAGACGGGTGACAGGTGAAAATTGGCACACTATAGTGTGGTGAAAAGTTCGTGGCGTAACTTACTGTCAAATACCGCCTTAACCATTGAACATAGATTCTCCAACGTTTGCACAATGACTCATATCAATTTGTCTTAACTGATGAATATTTGTTTTAAACTGATGTACACTGTATAGTAGAAAAATCCTAAATAAGTACTAACAAAAAATCCAAGTCTATGGTTTCTACAGCTCTTAAAAAGTTTACAGCTCGAGCAATATCGCTTTTAAAAGCAAGTCTGTCATTGTTTTCTAATCTCGTCTTTATGCTTTTTGAACGCATGTTTTGAGAACCTTTAGCGCAAAAAATGTGTTCCCTATAAAATTAATATCTTGTAACAAGTTTTGCTGCTAAAAAGTGTCATTGATCGGCTGTGACGTAGGCCATATGGGTATACAAAATGTGTGCAAGAAGCGGGAAGCGCTGTGAACAATCCCATTTTCCACGTGACGGAGATTTAAATTTTAAAAAATCTAGCCTCAATTGTTGAGGAAAAATATGATTACGTTAGACAAATTGATAAAACTGCTGTGCAAAGTGTGAGTGACGTTGATTCACAGGTTTAAGAGATATTTGAGGATAGATAAGTTGCGCCCCGAATTTTAGACGAATGCACGTTACTACACAAACGCGGATGTTTGGTGTTTAAGTGTAAGAGCAGTAACTCTGCAAAGACGGGCCTGTATCACACATATTTTTTTGCATCACAATCAGCCTTTAATCTACAAAACTCCTATCCTTCTTGACACTCCAAAGGAAAACGCTGTCCCTGGTCATATTATGAATTTTTCAGCCAGATAACTATTTTTTTAAGGTGGTGAGTGGGGAGCCCTGCTTTTGCACGCCCAAAAACTCCTCCCCCTCCTCCCTCCCCCCTCCCCCAAACACAACATACACATAAACCCACACACACACACACACAAACACACACACACACACACAAACACACACACACACACACAAACACACACACACACACACACACACACATACACACATACAGAAGTTTTTAAACCTTAATTACCTAATACTACTACTAGTAATATATTATGAAAAGCAAGCCCCCCTCGAAGGTACTACGTTTACCGAGGGGACGTTCGTCTTTTTTTCCCCATCTTTGACTTTGCACTACCTGCTTTTGGGCCTAAATACCTGTAATTGACCCCGAATTTACCTGAAATGAGAACTTTTAGGTAGGCAGTCCTGCTTCTTAGATGGTGCTACTCTTTGGCATGCACATTTAAAGAGAGAAACTAAGATTACCTGCTTTGTGGCCTTAAAAAATCAAGGGAGGTCAGAAACACGGTAAGTTTCGTTAAATATAAAAGCGAATCACATGGTTCTGTTAGTGAAAGCAATCCAAAAGGTTGTCGAATCAAGAGAGAAACATTTTGTGATCGCAAAATAGTGCTGGAGGCTTCATATCGCTCGGCATTCTGCAACGGAGTATTAACGTCATATTATTATTATTAGCAACGGGGATTTTTTTTTACAAGACAACCCAAAATTTGCGAGAAGAGGAGTCCTCTGTTCTGCACCTGGTTGTTCAACTGCCAGAAGTACGTAAATCTTGATCGTCTTAGTCGTTCAGGGATCTGAAAGAGGAGCTTGAGAGCACAACGGTTCTAAACATGATAGGGTCATAATATGGGGGCATATTGGTAGTTGTCACGGTCCAATTATGGGCTAATCTGAATAAAACGCGCCAACTTTTGATACGGGTGCCCTTTGGGAAAAGCTTCTAAAAGGGAAAACTTGACTTTTTAAAAGAATGAAACTTCAAGTGTTGTCAATTCTATTGATATTCGGGTACCAAAAAAAGATTTAAAAATTTTAAAATCTGTTTTTTGATCAAAACACCGTGTTTCGCAGACCCGTGGCATGCCTTTTAAATGAAAGTAGGTTTTGATCCACATTCCAAAAAAAGGTTAAAAGAGGTTTTTTTGCATGACGTGGCAGCGACCTCAATGTGCCGCCCCTTCCCCCCTCACCCCATGGAGAGATCCCGGATGTGCGAACTTGTAAGTTCTGAATGGAAGGCTAAAGTTTTATATAACCGAATATTTTATTTCAGTGGGAACAGCCAAATTGAAGGCAAACGAGGAAGAGGTAGACCCACAGCAACGTACTTGAAGAGCCAAGCAGATGGATAAAGGGGAAAGATCAGGAAAAGATAGCTTTTCTTTTTCCAAAGGAATGAGTGGAGAACAGACCATGATCGCCAATGTCCTTTGCAGATCTGGCACTTGAAGATGAGTTACTGCTGTATTGATATTTACGTTTTTCGTTGCAGAAATACAGTGTTGACTATATCTACGAGAGGCGCATTTATTCCCAGAAAAAGAATAACTATGATTTTGACATTTTTATCTACATGAGTTAATCAAAAGCATATTGTTATTTCCATAAAGAGAAGTACATGTATTAACGGTCTGAAAATAAACTTTTTTTCCATTTCAGAAATACATCAATGTTGACATCTACGGGAAATGTGGGAATCTCTCTTGCCCTCGCTCTCAGTTTGACCAATGCCAAGACATTCTGAAGACGTACAGATTCTACCTGTCCTTTGAGAACTCTTTCTGCCAGGACTACGTGTCGGAAAAACTCCTCCTGCTCTATAAACAGCGCAATCACGTGATCCCTGTAGTCAGAGGAGGCTTTGATTATGACCGCAACCTTCCTCCAGACACCGTGATCAACGCCGCTCATTTCAGATCGGCCGGGAACTAGGGGTTTACCTGAAGGAGCTGGGTTCCAATCCCGACCGTTACGCCAAGGTGCTGAAGGAAGTAGACAAGCTGACTGGGTTGGGTCACTTCATCGACTGGTGCGACATCTGTGAGAAAATTAACACCGTCACCGCGAGCAAGAAGATCCCAGACATCAAGGCCTGGTCACATGAAGGGAAATGCCATCCGCCGAAAGATGTCTAGTACACACATAACAAAAGTCTGATTCCATTCTTCTGAAACTAGATGGTTTTTGTTCACTTGAGAAGAACTTCAAATATAAAAGCTTGGTTATTCATTTAATCGATTCAAAGAAAGGTATATTTAATCTCAGGAAGGGATTTCGAGTATTATTTATCATTGAGCAAACTGCACAGGTTTGCCAACATTGTCGTGAATATTTTGAGAAATACAGCGAAAATGGCTAACGTCATCGATGGTGAGTCCATACATACGTTTGTCCGCTTGTTTGTCACCGGTCGTCCAGATTACTGCAATGGCTTTTGACATGTGTATTATTTAATGTAAATTAATTAATTAATTAATTAATTATTTTATTTTGGTGGGGGGGTGGGAATGACATGCAAATGTTTCTACATCCCCACCGCGCAATTTCGATCATTTAGGAGGCGGACTTCCGATCCCGCCTGCTTAGGGCAGGGCCAAGCCAGGCTGAGAGGGATACAACATCCCAGCAGACACACTGAGAGGGATACAACATCCCAGCAGACAGACCGACATTCGAATAAATGTTCTCCCCTCTATGGAATCGAAACTGGGTCTCCTGCCCGTCACAGCAAAGTGCCTACCTGCTACACCACACAACAGATGCCGCTGTAGCACCTTATTCTTTCTCCCTTTTTTATAGTAGAGGGTTTTACGGCGCTTGCAACTGCAAAAGGTCATATGAGCGCGCGGGACACATCTAATACTCTAAGTTGGTAGGAAATTTTGAATTTTGCACGGGTGGCGGCCGAAGCCTACTCTTATCGACTTTAGACCACCAAGGGATCTTTAACGTGCGCAACTTGCACACGGGCCTTTTGAGATTTTTCGCCCTTGTCCGAGAAGGCTAGGTGTAGATCTTTCCAACCAGAAGATCAGGGGTGTGGCAGAAAGACAGCTGTAAGAAGGAGTCAAAGAGTAGCAGTAGAAAGGCAGCAGAAAGAGTCAGGAGCCAAGAGGAGGGGGCAAAGGAGGTGAGGGGGTGGGGGCAGAAAGAGGAGACGAAAGCTGACGACAGAATATTGCAAGAGAGCAGGAAAGGAGGTGAAAGGAGAAGAAGAAAATTTTTCAGTCCCTACCCGGATTCGAACCGGGGACCTTTGAATGAGAGGCCAAGACCTTAACATCTAGGCCACGAGAGCCCCCATTCATTCTCCAGAATAAAAATAAAATAGAACGAAACAACCGGGATAGTGGTAAGGAAAAGTAGATATGTTGGATACAAGAGATTTAAACATTCTATTTTAGTTCCAGAGGCAGCCGGTACATGTAGAAAAGCGGAAAGATTTTTAAGATTGCATGTTACACTTTTATTAATATGTCTACATAGCTTTAGCACCATCTTATTCACAAGATCTTTTAAAGTTTTATTATCCTGGTCCTGTCTTGGGGTCATCTATTTGGTTTCATATAAATTCAAAGCACACCATATTTCAACTTGTTTGTAGAGAAAGGATAGTTTTTCTACTGCTGCTCTGGTCCTATATTGTTTAGCAACACTTTCTGTTCTTTTTTTCAATATCAGACTGGAAAGGTGGACATTCAATCTTGACGCGACTGACAAAGAAGCCATTAAGGAGGTAACTCGTGTTTTACCTATACAGGCGTATTTGACAACTAAAACTTGTCTCTCTTGAACTTCTACAGCGTTCAAATCAGACTCCGATGTGGAGCGCTGTTTGCTTCTTTCAATGGTTTCCTGTTTTGTTTTTGTTTTGTTTTGTTTTTGTTTTTGTTTTTTAAAATTTTATTTAAAAAGAAAATATACAGGACATTTAGACAAAGTACATGATATACCATGTGAGACCCTACTAAACATTGCAACTGGCTTGAACGAAAACATACTTGTGCATTTGCGATAAGACCCCCCCCCCCCAACAAAACAACCCCCCCCCCAAAAAAAAACAATAACAAACAACAACAACAAACAAACAAAAACAAAACAAACAAACAAACACACAAACAAAGAACAAAAACAAGAACAAAAACAAATCAAAACAAAATTAAAGAACAATGTAATAACAACAACAAATGGCTACAATAAAACGTGCAATAAGCGGCAAAAGCCTCTCAATGTTTCTTGAGGTCTTCTAAACAGAACGATGTTGGAACACGGAATAACATCCTTAGCATATTAAAAGATTATTGTAACTCCTTGTTATCAGGAATATCACTGGAGAAAGTTAAAAGACTTCAAACTGTCCAAAACAATGCTGCACGTTAAGTTTTACGAAAAAGAAAGCGAGACTGCAAAACCTCTTTCACGAACTTTGCATTGGCTTCCTGTTGAGAAAACGATTGTGTACAAGTTGGCTACTGTATGTCACAAATGTTTGAATGATAATGCACCATCATATTTATCAAATCTGTAAAGACTGTACATTCCAACTCGCAGTTTAAGGTCATCAGCTGACAAAAAGAAATTTATTTTACCACCTATGAAACTTAAAACAAAGGGTGAAAGGGCATTTGAATACCAAGGCCCCAAGATCTGGAATGATTTACCAAGTACGTTGAGAGAAATTAAATCTTTTGATTCATTCAAATGTCAGCTGAAGTCGTTTCTGTTTTTAAATTTAATCAGATGAATATTTCTAATAATTTTCTTTAGTCAGAACACAACGTTTCATGTTACTGTTGTATGTTGTACTGTATTGTAAAGCGCTCAGAGCCTGAGTGCTTTATTCGGGGTTGAGCGCTATATAAATGCCATTTATTATTTATTATTAAGATGAGATAAGATAAGATAAGATAAGATAAGATAAGATAAGATAAGATAAGATAAGATAAGATAATATAAGATAAGATAAGATAAGATAAGATAAGATAAGATACGATAAGATAAGATAAGATAAGATAAGATAAGATATTACTTTATTGTCTCAGGGGAGAATTTTTCCTGGCTGTACATGACCATAAAAACACATACAGGAATACATAAAAATGTGAATTATATACTCGTATTACTCACATTAAAATTCAAAATAAAAAGAAAAGTAAAGCTTACAAATGTACATGTCTCATCTGATGCATCATCCAACCACATGCAGGAAATTAATTAGTTACTTACCTTTACTTTTTTCAGTGGTGATACCGGTATTATGTTTTCTCAGGGTTTCCTTGACACACTCAATCCACCTTTTTGCGAGGCCTTCCTCTTCCTTTATAGCTTGAGTGTTTAGTGTTGTAGGCTCTCGAGGCTGGCTGGTCAGGTGACGTGCGTGACAGGCGGCCAAACAATTTTATTCTCTGTCTTTCTATCAAATGCAAGCAGGACTCAGAGCCAGTAGCTAGGCTTACCGCTTCATTTCTCTGCATGTCTCGTCTGGTGATGTTTAGGCTTTTAGGCTAATTACAAGACTGTTAAGCCATCCATACACCTTCAAGTAAATTTGATCAAGCTGATTGGATCAAGCTTACTTGCGCAAAGACGGCCCAAGCCGCGTTCATACTATGAACACACACCCTACACAAGTAATGTTTATCAATCAGTTTCATTTGTTCAAATAGCTACAAGAAGAGACGACATCGCCTTGTGCGCTCTTTTTTGTGGTTTTAAAAAAAAATTCTTTTATTTTTGATGATTTCTCTGTTTGCTGTCTGATCAAACAGATGAACAAATCGCATTAATTGATTATACGCTATGTCTTTTAATATCATATTGCTGTATTTATTCTTTGTGATTTTCCACAAACATTCGTGTGATTTGTAGCGTTCAATGAGAGTTAGAAAATTTTCTCTAGACCAGGAATCCATCAGAATAAATCTCACAATAATTGCATTGCACTTTAAAAAACGTTAATAAAGAATAGATCGAGACCAGCACAATAATGTAATATAACATTTAGCAAAACCAACAACACAATAGGCCTACACACAAGTCAAGGCTGTGGTGAGTTAGGAGGGGTGTGTGTGTGGGAGGGGGGGGTACACGGTGGCGACAAGGAATCAAACAAAACTTGGTCATTTTCATGCCAAGCCCATTGGAGTCAATTTGCTTTCGCCAAACTTCAAAAATCACACACACACACACACACACACACACACACACACACACACACACACACACCTACAATACGAATTGACCAATCGGCTTGCGTCAAGTAGAAATGTCAGTTCGGATTGCTGCTGGTGTGGGGTTGTTGTTGTTGTGGACTGGGGTGTCTGTGGACTGCTTTCCCACCCTGAGAAGAGGCCATTCATGTTGAGGATAGGAGGGTACTATGGTTTTCATGAGACTGGAAAGACCTAACTGCCCTGTGATCGTGTAATTCCGGTAGGGTTCACGTTGCCCATTCCCCGCCACCAATGGCTACTGGCTAAAGGTGAGGGGTCGGCTTTAGAGTCTTAGATTCATACTCGAGAAAGCAATACACGTAGATCCATTTGTTTATTCTGACAAGAGCCATATAATTATAACAGATGGTGAAAAACTTCTTTTGTATCTTTCTACTTTTGTTTTAGGCATGTACATGTACCTTTTTGCCGTTGTGTGATATTACAATCTGTGTGGAAAGGGGGTGTGATGGGTCGTTTATATTGCTGTTTATCATTTTTACACATGACACAGAAGGCAAGTAATGTATACAAGACATAGCACATTATATCCCGATTGTTTGTGTGAGACTTTGTCCATTACTAGCTGCAACATCTTATAGATTCTGATGTTAGCTGGAAGAACCATGTCCGGAGTTTGGGAGGCATGTTGCACTTTTATTAATATGTCTACATAACTTGAGCACCATCTTATTCACAAGATCTTTTAAAGTTGTATTAGCTTGGTCCTGTCTTGGGGTCATCTATTTGGTTCCATATAAAATAAAAGCACACCATATTTCAATTTGTTTGGGGTGCAAAGATAGTCTTTCTACTGCTGCTCTGGTCCAATATTGTTTAGCAACACTTTATTTTTATTTATTTTTTTGTGTGGTTTATTTGATTTTTAAAAACCAATATCAGACAGGAAAAGGACATTGTCA